TTTGGAATATCGTAAACGTTAACGAGTAAGTAAAATTTAGAAGTTTTACAACGAACTAGAATGATGAATGGAAGAATTCTAATAATGATTAACCATTACAGACTAAACAAGGCTTTCGAAGATTGCCGGCCTAACAAACCCCTCTCAGTAAACATCTTCGCCCCTGACTTATGTGTGAGAACAGGATTAGTGGAGTTCATTTTCGTGATGGGATGCCTTTACACGGCCCCAGTGCCGTGGAGTCTGCGCAGAGAGAAAATATGCGACTGCAACATGATCGAAGTCCAGACTGGCATATCCACTTATGAAATGAGACATAAATGCATACACAGACCGCTGGTCGAGCTGACACCGTTGAATGGCATGATAACGGTAGGTACATCACTAAACTATTTCATTACCTAAGATTTCAACATAATAATCATTTCATCATTCTCAGCCTACATCAATTGTGATAGCCTGATCCTTGCTTAGCTATTTTTTGCTCTTGGCTTCCAAACCAACCACATCAAGCTGATCAAGCCATCGATACATACAAAATCTTTATCTCTCTATCACAATAATGAGGTAAACGTGTATGCGACGGTACAACTCAAATCCTATTTCATCATCATCATCTCAGCCATAGGACGTCCACTGCTGAACATAGGCCTCCCCCAATGCTTTTCATGTTGCCTGGTCGACATCATAAAGGTAGCAGGAAGGCGCTGGACGCAGGCCGCTACCAACCGGGCACATCCTGTTAAGATGGAATAAATTAGTCTGATAATGTTTTCCAGCCTGAAATCCCAAACCTCCTACACCTAAAGTTCAACTACCACTTAGAGGGCCAAAACACACTGTGTTACATTATGACGTTGCCGAACCAAAGGACCATCTATCTCTACATAAACATGTACGCACATTTGAATACCAGAGGCATACTAACGCCCCTAAGGAGGCCAGTGGGAATCACAGAATATTTAGCTGTGCTGGATTGTGGAAGAGTTCCTATTAATAACCTTGACCCAGTGATCAGAGTAAGTTAAACCTTTAACAAGATCGCTTTAAGGCTGTGGTCTCTTATAAACGGAAACTTACTATAGAAATGTACTGATGTCATCATACGCCGCGTGTGCCGTTTAATTGGAGACCGTAAGATCAACAACTGATTAAAAACAAAGCTTGACTGAAAACTCAAAGAATTAAGGTCAAAGAAAGTATTTTCAAGTCCACATCAATGTCAAACATCTTCGTCCAATCGGCCCTTTGCTAAAACCAAAATCAAAAATATTTATTCAGTTTAGACCACAAGTGGCACTTATGAACGTCAAGATATAGTAAATAATAAAAAAGAAAAGGTAGCCCTTATGGGGCACTTTACATGTCTCCTTATCTTTTGGGCTATACTCGTACCAGCGCTTCGAGACAAACATATGGCAAGTGCTGAGATTAAATTTAAATCACGACTTCACATCGATTTCAGATCGTGTGGCTCTACAACCCTACAGAAGTGTTCACGACTTGGCGGCTCTTACGGGGTAACACGATATCCCCAGATTCAGTCTTACGATGTTTGCTATACTTCGCTGAAGTGCCGCCCTTGGGAAAGCTGGCCATACCCTTCGCCTTTATGCCCACTGAAATGATTGATTATGAGGCAAGCTAGAACTTTTCTATCTATCGTAAAGATGGCACATTAGACTCCCATTCATATTGGTTAATCTATGTAGATGATTTTCTACTGCTCCTTCGGATATGACACAGTCAAGATTTTGGTAACGGGACAAGGCGGTCTCCCAAATTGCGTAGAGACAAGGCTGGACATTCCTACCTACATTCAAAAGGTCATTAGATCTTCTTTCAGAGATGATGTCGTAAGTATTAAATAAAGTTATTGGTGAACTAGTCTTAACTAGTGAATAGTTGTCAAGGATTCTTGGTTGTTGCAGATTTACTTATCAATGGAGCATATCACTATCCCGCCAATGCCTACGCATTCATTGTCAAGGGATATCATTGCTCTATGCAACAACACTGATCATATCATGCGGTTTATTTGGTTGCCGTAAGTGCATTTATAACAACATCAAACTTAAATGCGAATTAGCGCTTTATGAACATTAAGAACAAAGTATTAATAAAGCGTATTTGTTTAGGGAAAGAATAGCAAATATTTTGAACATCGTGATGACACCTTGTTGGGGTGTGATTCAACCAAAATGTAGCGAGTGGATAACTATGACGGTTTATACCTTGCAAGAACCAGCAACGTTTACGTAAGAATACACAAAATTTTCTAGTAGACCTAGAAAACATTTCGTAAATAACATTAAAATCAATTACAGAACAACAGTGGCGTGTGAAATATTAGATTTGACTGAAAGACGGAGGTATCAAAGAAACGAAATGCTGAGACGAAGCAAGATTGAAAAGTGCAATCAGGAATTTATTATTATCGAAGAAGGATTATTTCATCCTGTAAGCAATTATCAAAATTCAGCAGTCCATGTAGTTCATGTATTTTAATAGATTTTAATGTTGTTCTTTATCTTTTAGGGCATAAATGATTTCCCTCCATACGTGGAAGATATCGAGAAACCACAACCATATTACTTGTCTATGACAGTGTCAGTATCATCTAAGGGACAACGTGATGGCTACCCTAGAATGCTTTTGAAGCAAATGTGGGAACAGGTAAATCAATACAAAAATAATGCAACGAGAGTGTGCGGCTAAAATATTGATACTTATGTGTCGTTATCATTTAGCGAACGGGACATTTTGTAATAAAATGGTAAAATTTTTGGAATGAGGTTTTTCGCGTATGAAAGATCCGCTAGATGGCGGGACGTGGATGTGGGGTCTGACTGCTGCCTGATTGGTGGATTTTGACATATCTGTCAATGTCATGTTAAAAATAACCAATCTTGCAGCATTTGGACCATGCGTCTACGTATTGCCATCTGGCGGATTTTTCATACGCGAAAACCCTCATTGCCGAAAAATAAATTAAGAACGATGTTTAAAAAGTTGAAATAATATAAATGTGATATTTCAGACCCCGCCGTATGATTTGTTATCATCTGACCTCAACGACTATGGGGGCGGGGGAGAAAGAACCACGAGTGGAAACAACATGACCATGAACGACATTATCCGAATCATCGACGGGATATTATGGTAACCATCGCTATGTACCTACATTTAATTTTTTTAAGATGTTTTCGCCTTATTTCGATGTATAATGTATTTTCAGGGATGCACTGCATAGCAAGATGTTCAAAAATCAAATAATGTTCTACTCCAAAGAGGAGATTCCGACTTATCAACAACTTCTCAAAGTTATCGAGACAGACACAAAGTCGAGGCTAAGCAGACGGTAAGAAAAAAAAATTTTTCTTTTTACTACATTTTATCGTTTCTTTCCGAAAATTCGACTAATTTTGCTAATTCTTTACCTTTAAGAGATTCATGCATTGCTTTTGCCTCTATGAGTAGAATATTCTGCTACAAATTGGAGTATTTTTTCAGAGTAACATCAGGCATATGCGATGCCATAGTCAACAAAGCAATATTCCACGTCTACAGCCTAAACCCGAAGCACGACGTTTCCATATTAGAAGCAGAATAACACTATGATGATTGTTAAGTTTTGAAAAAAGCTGCTATTCGATGGCTGTCTCTGACTCAAGCAAGCCCTAAGATTGGAAGAAGTCCCAGCGAAATATTAACTTATTTTACGTTAGAATTGATAATTTGTTATTTTTATCACTAAATATAAACCATAAAAACCATTGAAGTCAATTTAATTCAATAACCAGCGATAATCAACGATAAAATTATTCTAATTATTCTTAACACTACAAACAAAATATACATAAACATTTACCAATTAGGTAGTCAGTCTGCAATTGACAGCTTAAGGCTTCAGACTTCAGTTATACTACAGGCAAATGCTCCAAGTGAGGGAGCACCTTAAGACTAGTCGCAGACCACCGATTTTTAGTTGGCCGATAGTTGGGCCCGATTTTAATTTGTATGAAGAATCGGCCAAATCAAATCGGTGTAATGTGCGCACTTCCATACATGCCCATACTGATCAACTGCCCGACTAAACTATCGGCCGACGAGAAAAATCGATGGTTTGCGCCTAGGCTAGATGTTCTTTTATAGGTCGCGCAACAAGAGTTGAAGCACGGGTTGAAGCCACCAACACAAGCAAAGAATGTGTCTGTTTACGCTGTCTGCGCTGACGTTTTGCGTAGCATAGCTGGTGTATTCCCTTTCTGACGATATTTGAACTTGAATGTTTTGTGTGTNTTCTGTTTCTTGTAAATAAAGTTATTATATCCTCTTTCTTATCTTCTAGATACGTATTAAAAAAAAAAAAAAATCTGCATAAAGTTTCATGATGATACAAGACTTAGAAATGCATGTAATTCAGATTCTAAGATTCCATTACATAATTAGTTACATACACGACGACCCTAATAAAAGCGTGTTAAAAACGAAAAAAATGACAGTCATATTATTTAATTGCGTGTAAAAAGAAATTTCTGTCATCTTACATATCATTAAAACGACATTTCACGACGAAAAAAATAAAATTAAAGGAACAGTTGCCGAGAATATTGCCGAGAAAGTTCCCGAGAATATTCTCGGGAACACTGAGAATATAGCCTTTCTCTGCAAATAGGGTGTATTGTTTAATATACACTTATCTGTCGACTTAATTTAAAACTATTTTACTTAAAAAAGTTTGTTTATTTCCATTTGATAAACATGATTCTCAACCTTTCTCACTTAGGAGAACGCTCTCGAGAGCGCTCCCGAGAATATTCTCAGTGAGGAGAGCGTTCTCGGGAACGGCACATCAATAGTCCCACCAAACTCAATGACAGGGGGGCGCTACCGTCGTTCAGGTTTCAAACATGGCAAACATCGGAACCAGCGATCCGGTATTGACGGTGGCGCCCCACTGTCAATGTCATGGATAGGACAGTTCAGTATTTTGGAACTATACATGATCGCACGTTATCGCGGCGCCCATCTGTACTTAGCCTAACACTAACGATAAAAACATACATAAACATTTACCGATCAGTCTAGAATCTTCTCCAACTTTAACTGCAGTTTATTGGCCTTCGTTGAAGGTATCACAGTAACGGAGACTCGGTCGCCGAGTTTGGGCGTCTGGTTAGCGCCAAGATTGCTTCGGTGGATGAGGCCGTTGTCTCCTATTCCGCAGTCGACGAAGCAACCGAACGGTACCACGTTACGGACTACGCCTGGAATATCATAAAAGGACGCTTAAATACTTATAAAACTGCCAAAGAAAACACTGTAATATTAAAATAATAGGTAAATTTTTGCTCACTAGTGGCGCCACTGACAAGTAACAGTAATTAAACAGTAGAGCCAAGTGATGGGCGCAAATACAGTAGAATTTTGTAAGTAAAATTTTATGGACCCCAAAAACACAGGTGTTGTCTACGAATAAACGAAAAAAAAACGTATCTTATTTACCTGTAAGAGTCATTCCCTCTTGAATATCATCTTTAGCCTGCACAGTCAAAGAATACACAGGTCTGCAGAAGGTGATGACGTTATCTTCATAGGACTTCTGTTTAAAGGCATTTATTATGAGCTCCAGTGTGCAAGTGTCGGTTTTCAAGTCTGCGCTTGTAGATTCTATGTTGATGGACGCAGTTTTTGTTTCTACCAAACCAGGGAAGTTGGGTTGAGAAAGATCTTTGATGTTGACTCCGATTTTCTTTGCGAATCTGAAAAAAGATATCACTTGCCATAGGGTGACACTGCTTTATAAGGTGAATGAAGGCATGTTTGGAAAGGCGTAGTCACACGTTACATATACCTACCTACCGTAGCACTTTGACAACGTGTGACTGCGGTTTTCCAAACATGAAAATTACTATGCAACTACATTAGCAACTTTGTTCAGTTCAGTATGCTGAAAATCTTGTTTTATACTTTTGCAGCGTCGTTTTTTTGTCGTAGTTGGGTTTTAGTTTTTTTACTTTTTATTTATTATTTGTACTGTTTTGGTGTTAAAGTGTATTTGTGGCGCAATATTAACTAAAGTTAAATTGATGAACTAATAAGTAGTAAAGAAGCTATGAACGAAAAAATGTGAATTATATGCAATCAGCCTATGAATACAGGTAAAGTCACAAGCAAATGCTAGTAATATATATATATTCAAAACGTACAAGTAAAGCGCTTTCAAATGATACCAAACACGGCATATTTATCTAAACTTTATTTTTTTACTCTGTATGTTTTGTCCGCTAGAGGGCGCCACATTAGATTTTGTGAAACCGCATATAGCCTATAACCAGCGGACAATTAAGACGCTTCTAATGATATGTCATTTGTCGAATTCTGATAAGTAGTTTAGAAGTTACGAGGGAACAGATGAACATACATACATACATACATACATACATACATACATACATACATACATAGCCTGTCAAAATCATAATCCTCCTTTTGCTTTGCCGTAGTCGGGTAAAAAGAACCAAGAGACTATAAATAAAATCTCTCAAGAATTCAATATTATGTCAGATAACTATCAGTAATAACCAGTTGACATGAGCAAGAGAGTTTACAACATGGGTTTTAAAGTGCTATTTGGCTTCTCTCACAAAACGGGCACAAGAATTTAGTTTGTCTACCGAGTGATTTACTTACAGCTTAGCTATACTATAACTTTCTGGATGTATAATAGTCGCATCTAAAGGCTCGGTCCCTCCCAACACCTTCAAAAACCCGGCGCACTGCTGATAGGTTATCTTCCCAATGCCGCCAACCTTCAGGATTTCTGCTCGGCTCTTGAAACCGCCATTTCCTTGGCGGTAAGTCAAGATTTTGGTCGCTCTACCTTCATTTAGTCCAGATATTCGTCTGAAAATGAAGTGTTAGCTAGTCACCAATATTTTACTATTACTTGTGGTAATTATAAGGTCATTAGTCAATGGAGAAACTTTTTGCTGTCAAAAACGATAGCCCTCATTTTAACAATGAGGCGATAAATCGTCGCTTGCCTCTCTAACTGACGTATCTGAAATTTTTTTCGAAACTGAGTTATCTACACCATCTTAATCAATTTTGCAAGACGAATCGATCTGTCTAATCGCCTGAAAATTTTGCTAAATGTCAGTTACGTCAGTTAGAGAGGCAAGCGACGAAATATAATAGGCGATTGATATTGACCTTATGCGATAGTCTTCCTACCGCTTCAGCGCTTACCAGTTGGCGCCACAGTCTTTGTCACTAGCAAGTGACAGTGACCTTACTCTACAGTGGCGCCAACTGGTGAGCGCTAAAATGATAGCCCTCATTATGGTACGTTAGCGTACGGCGTAGAGTATAGATAGTGCAATCCACGAAGACGCACCCCATATTTCTTCCGCAGTCCGCTAATATTTGAGTGTTATCGGTTCGTTCGTTCGTTCGTTTCAGCCAAATGACGTCCACTGCTGGACAAAGGCCTCCCCCAAGGTTTTCCACAATGAACGGTCCTGCGCTGCCCGCATCCAGGCTCTTCCCTTCTCTACCTTTACCAGATCGTCGGTCCACCTAGTAGGAGGCCTGCCCACGCTACGTCTTCCAGCCCGTGGTCGGTGTTATCGGTACACGCTACTTATCCATGAGTGCACACGCATACTACAATAATGACGCTCGGATCAAAACTTCCCGCACCCCGAGCTTCCAAACCAAAAATTGGTGGGGCGCGTCTTCGTGGATGGCACTATCTATAAATATTCTTGCTTACCTCAGCATAGCTTTTGATGCGGTATTGATGTCCACACCCACTAAGCTCACGACTTTCTCCACAGCACAGTCCAATGCAGATTCCAGCATTTTAGGAGGAATGTCATGCTGATACAATCCTACTCCTAAATTTTTAGGATCAACCTATATAAAAAAGGATTTAACTGTTTACTATTCTATAGGCTAAAATTTAAAATACTTTAACGTGCTCTGAATGATTCAGTCGTTAAATAAGTATAGCCTGACCAGGAACATAAAAACCCTGGCATAGAGGCGCGTCAATTTTATTTGATAGTGCAACACTGAGTACAGTCGTACCTGTGTTAAATTAATAGGCTAACTTTATGTATCAGGATTCGGGATTACGGGCTAATTTGATATTTTCATAAATTAACGAAAAAATATTATTATAGGTAACCTGGTTTAAATAAATTAAATGAAAACATCAATCGAGCTGGTAGGATTTATTATATTATTCATTAATAATCAAATTCAGAACTTGAATATTCAACTGCAATGTCTGCTCATGAACGCTTGAAACTCGGTACTTCTTTCCCAATTCCATAAAATTCAACACGAATGTGACAAAAAAATTTAAATTAGGTAGTTGAAACAAACCACAGCTAATTTTCATAGTCGACTGTACTGTACGATAAACATGTCAGTCAATTTGACAACCTTTGTCGGAAACATTATTCAATGAAAATATTTCAAAATATTGTCCGAACCCTTAGTATTTCTCTTCGACAAATACTTTAACACATTGTGAACCACTTTTCTTTCACGACTGTAAAAAGATTTTAGCAATTTAATTCACAAAATCAATTGCGCACATTTAAAATAAAGTTTGTTTACACTTTGACAGCAATAGACTGACATGCAAGATGACATGTCTATGAAGTTTTCAGTTACTGTTGCCATTAAAAGAAATTAGTACCATTAGTTTTCCGCAACATGGCGAGGGTTTTTATGTTCCTGGTCAGGCTATACATACCTTTATTAATTCTCCTAATGGGTCCAAAACTCTTCTTGCTATTGATAGAGCTGATATCAAGTTAGGATCCATATTTGGGTGTTCCTGAAATGAGAATACAGGATTTAATTTAAGGCCGTGTTGCACCCTTACTTTAACTTTGACAAACGTCAAAAATCTGTCAAACTCCACACAAAATGCACCCGTTATCGTCATAGTTACCGTTAAAATTAGGTGGTGCAACTCAGCCTAAGAGATACAGGATGTAATTTAATTTATTAAGAATTCAGGATTCATTTAAGAATTAAGAACCGTACACAAATGTTAAGAAATGTGTTATAAAATGTACCTTTTGAGCTTCTTTGCTTATAGAATAAATAGATGCGCCCTGTTCAGGCACAATAATAATTGGAATGTTTTCTGAAATTTTATGCGATTTCAGCCACAATTCTGTCTCACGACACGCTGTACCGTTACCTAATCCGATCAATTCTACTCTGAAACAAATACCTCCATTAGATATTACTACATGCCTTACGATCCCGAAGTTTACAGGGTGGAAACGATAAATGATCTCCCTCGATTATTTCCAAACTATACAAGATATCGAAAATCAGGTTACTGATCCCGAAAGTGCTTCACGAGCTCTTACAAACGGTACCAATATGTTATAGAATTAACTGGATCTATCTGAAAATTCAATGTTTCCAGCTTCCATATCTTTATTTATTTATTTTATTTTATTTTATTGAGAAAACCAACAGCGTATTTATACAATTTTACCATACATAAATTTAACATACAATATGGCCAATAACAGGTTTCCCTTAAATTATTACCAATAGTACTAGTAAAGGTTGGAATGCTACCAATACCTATCCACACAAGTTCACACAACACTACCTAAACAATACAATACAAAACAAAGATCATCCCGATAGCCAACTCAATGTCAGTTGAGATACAGAAAAGATATTATGTAGTTTACATCCTACTATTATTATAATCTTGTATAGTTTAGAAATTATCGAGTGAGATCACTTATCGTTTCCATCCCTGTATAGCGTTATCTCTTTCAGTCGCTCTATACGTACTTGTATTTAGCAATGAGACCTCTCAGTTGTTTCGCTGCCGCATCATTCTGATTCATGTGCCGCAAATTAGGATAAATGGTGCAGGCATCCAGCTTGTCTCCATTAGGATTAATTATCCCCACCTAAAACATAGCAATGTATCGTTTAAAGTCAAAAGTAAAATGCAAAAACGTTATTGCATAGTTAGGCATGTGCATGACTCATATTGAGATTGCCACGTGGTATACGAGGGTGTTTGTATGTATCGATGAGGGCCTATTAACACAGCTATTAATCTTAAAATTATGGCACCTTACTCATCTGTGATAAGGGCGATTTTGCAATGAAACAGACAATTATCTACAAGTGAGTATTTGTATGACCCCTCGTAGAGAACGAATCTGCGTGTGTCTTTTAAAAAGTCTCATATCGACACGTTTCGCGCACGCAACGTTTTAAAGAGAATAAGTACTTTTGTGCAACTGTTTTTACTAAACAAAAACGTAACTACCTTACAACCAGCTCTAAACCCTGGATCCAATCCTACAATGGTTCTGTTTTTCACTGGCTCAGTCAGAAGGTATTTCTCCATGTTAGTGGTGAAGGTCTTGACTGCTTCCTTTTGCGCTTGCGACGTAAGGTCAGATCTGACTTGTCTTGACAGCCATGACTTTATGAGACGATTGTAGGCGTCGATCAGACCCTTTCGTACCCAGTAATTACTTTTCCAGAGGGTAAGGCAAAATCTTGAAAAATAGAAAAGAAAATGGTTACTAAATCGGATGATTCTTGCACACTTCACTACCAAAACTATACTAATTTTCTTAGTTTAATTAAATATGGTACTTCACTTAATTCTAATACTGTTAATTTATTAATAAAGGCTGTTGTTGGTGCATCATTTAACTCAAAAAATGCACTGCTGATGGCCCAATTATCATTTAGGCTGTCTGTGCTAGTCATGAGCACGAATTATGTGTGTATCTACATCTACAATTTTTACTACCAAAAAGTACTTAAAAATAAGTCTTACTTTTCCAATCTATTATAAAACCAATCAGGGACAACCACTTTAACAATGAGGATTTTCTCATCTTCTCCTCTGTTCAATGCTAATGTTTGATGGGGCTTAATGAATTGACTGGGACATTTCCATTCAAAATACAACTTGTATGTCTCTGGGTCAGACTTAGAATCAGTTTTTTTACCATCATCTTTTTCTTTTGTTGAAGTTTTGGTTCTGCTACTCTGGATTGTAAATCTAGTTTCTTCTTTCCTGAAAAGTATTAGAAAATTATGAAGTATTTTTCCATCATAATTATTATTTTAGTAAAAACTCTTGGCAGAGCATTAAAACTCATAAAACTAATTTATTTTTGCAAATAGGCTTTTAAAAAGCACTTTTACACGTCCCAATATTAACCCTACCACTGCTTCGGGACAATAAATGGGCCAGTGCTGAGAAGAAGCAGCGCAAGAAATTACTCAGTCACTATTATCATGTGATAGTAGAGGGCATGCTTGTTATTTTTTGTTTGGTGTATCAGTTATTTTATTTCAATATAAATCACTAATAAGTTTATGTTGTGATAATACTATTTATGTACTTACAAGTTCCTCATTTGTTCAAGCACTCTTGTATCTTTATAAATAATGTCAGCAATAATATGTGTGATGTGAGCATCTACTTTATCAGGAGTGCTCAACTCTTCGTCATCAGTGCAAACCATTTTGAGATCTATAAATTCGCCGTTCAAGGCACGAATTGCAAGAGGTTCTAAACCCAGGTTTCGGGCTCTTTCAGCCAATGATAAAGAGTGCGATTTCAAGGGAGCATACTGAAATTTAACAAACATTTACAATATTTTTTTAGCAGACCAAATTAAAAATAATTGAAACAGCGTAAGACTTAATTTCATAGACATAAGTAACACATAGCCTAAACGTTGTAGAAAAATTATGTTTGAAGAACTAAATAATGACTGCTGAAGGAATACTTACTACTAAATCTACTTCTGACAGGTTTTTTGCATTTAATAGGCTCTTTTCTATGTCTGGAGTTAACTTTTTTGACTTTTTTAGAGTTTCTATGACTGATTTAACTTTCTTTTTCAATTGGGAAACACTTTGGTAGCATTCAAACAATTCTTGAAGTCTAAAAAAGAATACCAACATTTTATCAGTGTTCAACTACTCTTTCTTGCACTATTGTTAAGGTTTGAGTTAGGTTAGTCACTAATTAACTTCATAAACAGGATGTAAGTAGTTAGTAGGATTAGCATTACCTAATAATTTTTAATTTGACTGCATTCAATTTCACAAACAATTATTATTGCTTATCTACATATTTTAAAGGTGTACTCACTCTTAGGTGATATCAATATTTTTAAGTGAAAGCATTACTTACTTGTCAGGCATCAAGTGGTCCACAGCAGATTTTCGATACCTCGCTATAAAGGGTAATGTGCAGCCTTCTTCCAGCAACTCTATGAAGTTTTCGGCTAGTTTCTTTGGTATCTTCTGGTGAAGTGAAAGCATTTCTGCTTCATCCCACGTTGTAGAATTTCCATCGTAACTATCACTTTTTTTAGAGCTATTTGAACCCATCTCAGTAATTACTTTTGATGGCTTTTCAATTACTTTTTTCGAGCTATTTAAACCCATCTCAGTATTTTCTTTTAACGATTTTTTAATTACTTTTTGTTTTGCCTCTTTTACTATTGGCTCTTTTTTAAGCCTTGGTTTCTTAGTTTTTGGCTCTTGATCACTTGTTTTAGATTTTACTGTAGTTTTCCTTTTGCACTCGGATTCAGAAGTCTCACCATCTGAAGTTTTACGTTTTCTGCCTCTTGTAGCAGTGCCGACACGATTACTGGCAGTTTCTTTTTCCATTACGTACCTATTAAACTAGTAAAATAATTACGAAACACAGGTATTATTAGTCAATGTAGCGGAAAACGTAAACAGTATTGTAAAGAGCAGTCAATCATGCCAGTACTATAGAAAAATATTGCTAGCTGATTGCGAAAATAACAAATCACAGGTTTATTTTAAATCATAAACTAACCTAGATAGTAATCGGTGCTATCATTACTAATAGAAAAATTAAAAACTGAACCAAACCAACCAAGCAAAACACAAACACGAACAGCTGATCATGAAGTTTGAAATGAATTTTTTGAGTTTGACAGTTGTAGATGACAATTTTGACATTGAAACGTCAGTTTAACATTAATGTGTAACAAACTCGTAAACAAAAATTGAATTAAAATTATTTCTTATCATGTTGTTACCTTTGTCTAAAAATATTGATCTAATAAATATTCTAATAAAACAGTTTTATAGAGGTTCTTTGGATTTTACCATCAAGGTATGTAGTAAATTTTAGGTTAAACCTTAGATTAATAATATCTAAGGGCACAGATCCATATCTGTGTCTAAGGGTTATGCCCGTTTTCACCATCAATAACTAATTTTTAAGTGACCCCTATGGTAATACATATCAGGCAATTTGTTTTCATAGGGGTCACTTAAAAACAGTGCCGGATTAAGCCAGCGCGGGGCCTGTAGCAAATTTCTATCAAGGGGCCCTTGGTTTGCTTTAGGTTCTCAAGTTTAGGGTATTAAATGAAACAAAACTGTTATCTACAAATGAACTTTTCTTGATTTAATGTGGACAAATTTAGAGATAACACTTTCAATATCAACTTCTTTAAGGAAATCATGCTCTACGAGTATATTCAACAAAGTAAGATGATTAAGACGTTCTTGTCCCATCGTGTTCCTTAATTAATTTTTAATACGTTTTAACCCTTTCACGCATATGGGACACATTTGTCCCCGCAAAGTTTTTACGATTTACAGTAATACTAGTTAAGTTAAACCCTTTGTAGTTTAATATTCTTAAATTTTATTATCAGCTTTTATGTTGATGCGCTATAAATAATAAAAAACGCGATTCTTTGTGTTAAAAAATACTGGCACAAAATGTGAAAAAAAATTTCGTTCGACGTCAAAATTAAAAAATATTTTAATATTACTTAGCAGCTTTTTTCCCATTATTTTTCTTCCGATTTACATTCACTAATAAGTATAATTATCGTTTTATTACATATTTTCGATTTTATTCGTATGCATAATAAATATTATGTAAAAATGTGTATTGGGACACGGGTGTCCCTATGTGCGTCAAAGGCAACTTGGTTCTTACTAAGGATATTGTTTGCCTCGTTATAATTTGTATGTTTATATTGATGTTTTATTTATAATTCATACATTTTTTGTAAATCATTTGTCTTCAAATCGACTTGAAGAAATAATAAGAAAGGAAAGTCGAAATTTAGAAGTCATGATGACTGACAATAGTGACAACGAGGATGGTTTCCTCCTTGATGAAAGAATGTCTACTGCTGGACAGAGGCTTCCCTGAGGATTTCCACAACAATCGTTCCTGTGCTGTTCGTATACATGAATGTATATGAGGAGCACAGGAACATGAGGCCTGCAACATTGCGTCTTCCTATCCGTGGGCGCCACTAGAGAAATTTTCTGCCCAAACGGCCATCACTTCTGCGAGCTATGTGTGCCTATTGCCACGAAAGTTTGGTAATTATGCGCGGGCTATGTCTGTTACTTTGAGTCTCCTGCAGACTTCCTCCCTCATCACCCTTTGGGTGACTGAGCCTTCTCATAAGGCCCATAGTTAGTGAAGGAACACATTTCCGTTCCGTGCGTCATCGCCGCCAAGCCAACACACATTGGTCAAAGACTTTCAGTCAAAGGTTTTGAGACACTGCGGTATTTTGGATAATAAGATGTCGCGAAGCCTCTTGGATGCTGTCCCCCCAAGTAAGATTCAACGATTGTAGTCATGGCATGGCTGAGACCTTGGAAGACCTAGAATCAATGCTCTATGGCCTCAGTAGAGGCTCTCAATAAATGCGATTCAAAATAAACATGGACAAGACGAAAAAATTATGTCAAATATCCGTGTTACACGCACTCCTCTGAACGCTGGAGACTCTAAACTCAAAGTTGTTCTTGAAACAAATAGTCTAGTTAGGTAGGTCTAACTTCAAGAAAGAGGTCTACGATGAGATGAGGATCAAATATAAAAATACGTAAAATATTATGCTATCTATTTTAAATTTCTTATTATAAATATTAAAAATAAGCTTATTGATTAAATTTGATGTGTATTTGTAGTGTGATTTGTATTTATTTTGCAATAAAAGCGTCGAAGTATTTTATTTTCAATATATGAGGCAATGTATACCTTAACGCATATAGGGACATATGTGTCCCCGACTGAAAAACACTGAAATACATAGCACTTATATTTTCTGTATTACTTTTATGTTAAATTAGACTAAAATAAATAGATATAACTAAAGAAAAAATAATTTTATGGTTTGGAATAGATATAANTGTAAGACTTTTTCCTCACTTGCAACAAACAACCAATTCTTACAACAATAAACTGCTAATTGCTCGGTGAGTTCTTGCGTAATACAATAGTGGAGTTTTTCATATATACAAACTCGAATCGGGGATTCCCCAAGCATCAACAAGTATTACCAACATAAATTTTAAGCAGTGTTGCCGATTGAGAAAGAAAAAAATACACCAAACTATTGCGCTAAATTTTAGCTGTGAATTTTATGAATGGCAATAAGAGGTGATTTTATGTGAATTTATTTAACCATTAGGTATCTAAAATTTAAATTATTACATTTATCAAAATCAACTGAATTAAATAAATGAATATTTTTCTGGTCATCATTACGTTCGGGTGCGGTTAGTGTGTTCACCAGATGCCGTTTCTTTTTTTACAGTTTTAGTCATTTTCTTCAAACCGTGTTCAGGCAACATAAAGTGTTTTTTTGAGAGATTGATGCCCGTTTTCACCATCAATACTTAATTTTTAAGTGACCCCTATGGTAACAATTAACAGGAATTTTGTGGTCATAGGGGTAACTTAAAAAATAGGGATTGATGGTGAAAACGGGCATGAGATTTCCTCTGACCGGGGGCCCCTTCGGGCTGGGGGCCCGTGGCATTTTGCCGACTTGCCACCCTATAGTTACGCCACTGCTATTCAGACTGCATAAAATTGGTGATTCATTTATGGGAAAATGTATTAAATTCTTTAATAAATTACCACAAACTGTTGTAGAACTACCCATTGACCATTCATAAATTCAAAGCACATATTAAAAGTACCTTAATGAAAAAGGGCTACTATAAAGTCGATGATTATTTAAAAGATAAAAATGTTTGGGATGCGTTACTGCCTAGCTCGCATAAATATTTATAGTTAACTTTGTACATTTTAAAGCCTGTAAACCTTTGAAAAAGAGGCTGACAATAGTGACTGAGTTTCTTGCGCTGCTTCTTCTCAGCACTGGCCCATTTATTGTCCTGAAGCAGTGGTAGGGTTAATACTGGGACGTGTAAAAGTGCTTTTTTAAGCCTATTTACAGTAATAAATGAGTTTTATCGATTATAATTAAACATTAGAACATTCACGTTAAAAAGTTCGTAAAATACCTACCTACTTATTTTTATGATTTTTTAACGTGATGAAATAGAGTTTTAGATTTTCAAGTGAAAGTAAAGCATAGCCTAAGCGCTTCGCGTTTAAGGCATGCAAGATATTTTATGCTCCTATCTAAATTAATCTTTTTTTATTTCGGTCAGACAGGCGTTGGAGCGCGGGGCCCCCAAATTCGCGGGGCCCGTAGCATTTGCTACTCTTGCTACGTGGCTAATCCGGCACTGCTTAAAAATTAAGGATTGATGGTGAAAACGGGCGTTAAACTATTTACATTTTGGCGTGGTGGCAGGAACAAGTCCGAATTCTACTATGGCCAGTTGTAATTTACAACTTTTACTTTTTTAATATGGACTTGTTCCGTGCGTTCTTGACTTATAATGGTATTTATTTAACAAACCTTCTTTAATCTAATTTAAATAAAATCGTGTTAGGTACTTATACAGGGTGTTAGGTAAATAGGTATAAGCCGACACTAGCTCATGTTAACATGGGCATATAAATGGTATGGTGAAGTCAGAAAATTGATATCTCCATTTTAATTATTTTAATTTTCATACAAGTCGGATTTTCCAAAATTTATTTTGTATGAAAATAAAAAAAATTAAAATGATGATATCAAATTTCTGACTTCACCATACCATTTATATGCCCATGTTANAAATGGTATGGTGAAGTCAGAAAATTGATATCTCCATTTTAATTATTTTAATTTTCATACAAGTCGGATTTTCCAAAATTTATTTTGTATGAAAATAAAAAAAATTAAAATGATGATATCAAATTTCTGACTTCACCATACCATTTATATGCCCATGTTAACATGGGCTAGTGTCGGCTCATATACCCATTTACCTAACACCCTGTATACACTATTTAAATAAATATTAGTTACTTATATACACTATTTATAACTTAAGAACGGCTGGACAGATTTTGATGAAATATAAAAGCTTTTTTTATTTAATCAACCACTCAAAAAGTGATTTTGTCGATTTTTGGACCCCCTCTACCTCCCTCCTACATGAGATACGTTAATAGGTAGGTATGAGCTTTATTACATTTTTTTAAAAGAATATTCATAATTAATATTGCACAAATTACTAATAGCCCCGTTAGCCCTTCGTACTAAGCTATTTAATATGCTTGTGTTACAAGTGGGCTCACCACATTTAAATAGTCGAGCGGCGCCGTGGCGGCGGGATTTGAACCCGCGTTCCCCGGATTTCGACCCCTTCACCATTCGGCTATCGTGGCATTTATTTAAAAACAACACTGTAGTCATAATTTTCAACAGAGATAGCGACGTTTTGTTTATTCAGCCCATTAAAAAATATCCTCGTAATTTTCTTCCTGTTTGCAATTTGTTGTTTGTGGAAAAAATAAATTACGTGATACTTGAAGGGGGGGGGGGGGGTCCTTTCCCCCACGTATGATTTGGTGAGAATCGTCTTGTATATAAATATTTTTTCAGACAGAAGATGTGCAAGAAATGACTTGGAGTAAACAGGAAAAGTTTTTGAGTGCAACTGTTAACAATCCACTGATAAAAAGGTACCCAGTAAAAAGAGAATTTTCCAGATTATTCTTAAAAAAGTTGATAGCCTTCCTTGAGGGTGTTCAA